CTGATTTGAATGCGCACATTTGAACGGCACATTTCAGTTGATCCATTCGGTTCCTGTGGTCACCCTATGGGAATACTTTACATTTTTTCCATACTTTTCCTAATTATTCCAACATCAGATATCACATGTATTTTCATGTACATGGATATAATATTAATTCTGTCTTAAATGGAAATCCAAACAAGAATAAACTAAAATCTGTCCATACTTTCGCATAGGCTTGATAAAAGATTAAGGATGTTCAATACGCAGGTTGCTTGCTTTCCTATAATGCTGTATATTATTTATATTTGTTGCATTCACCAGTTTAGGTTAAAATGTTTTGAATAAAATATGGTTACACCATGTCCTTATGATTACGTAATCTGAAAGGGGGTTGGGTAGTGTCTCCAAAACAAGCTCTTTCAGTAAACATGGAGGTGTGTGTGTGTGTGTGTGTGTGTGTGTGTGTGTGTGTGTGTGTGTCACTTTAACAAGCGACTGCAGTTTCAAATTGCTTTTTTATGCACGTTAATGACTAATGATTCTTGCAGACTTCTGCCTATCTCATACACACAAAGGTTTCTTGCATATTTTCTTTCCTGGATTTTGTGAGATTTTGTTGTTTGTTTAATGTTTTTTGGGGTGGTGGTTGTGGTGGTGGTGGTGGGGTTGGTACCAAGATGTAATGGCAAACAAAATTGGGCATGGTTGACAGATTACATGTAGAAAAATAAAACATAAAACAGCTGCATTTGTACTCTTTATGGATCAGACCAGGTTTGCGTTGCAGTTCAATGACTGCAGAGTTAGCGTCTTCCGACGGCCAGGTGAAAAAGTTTCCTGACGTCAACGTCAGACAGCGTCACAGTTTTAGCGGTGGTTCGGGATTTCTGTGCACCGCGTGACTGCTCTTTACGTCGTCCTGGGAAATTTGACTGGTATCATATACAGGGACGAAATGTTGCGTCCGTTTGTTGTTCCTACTCTTGGCTAAACTGGAGCTGGTTCTGTTCTTCAGGGTGATAATGCTTGGCCACAACGAGCCAGGCTTCTGAATGATTTTCTCAATCAAGATGGCACAGTGAGAATTGACTGGCTTGCACACTCGCCTGATATGACACCGATTGAGCATGTTTGGCACGAGCTGGTCAGGTGGGTGGGGGCAATCATCATCAACCTGGTAATCTTCAAGAATCGATCCTATTTCTTCAGGTAGAGTGGCAGGCTATCCCACAGATGCTTTTCGAGGTCTGATTGACGGTATGCTTCGACAATAATGTGCTGTATGTTTACTAGCACATGATGGTTTCACCGTTATTGACATACATTATTTCCGGAATGGTTGAATTTTCAAAGGATGCTTACAGTCATGATATTGAGTTTGCATGGAGCATATGATTTGCAGTGCTCAGCTTTAGGACTGCATACACCAATTCTAACCACATTCATGCTTGGAAATGCTGTTTTATATGTTTGCTATGCATAATTAAATGTCATGCTGAAATCTACCCTTGACCTCTTTGAGTAGTATATTTAATTAGTGTCGGACATTGAGCTTACAAAACACACTATTAGTCTTGACCGAAAACATCTTCCATATATTAGAGACAGACAAACACAAAGAAGGACATAAACAGACAATTTATTCATTTATAAATGAAATAAAACTGAAATATTTCACTTAAATATACCTTTCACTCCAACATGGTCGCAACATTGTTATTGCCTATCCCTAGAACAACGTTTCTGAGGAAAGGTCCTAGATTCGCATGTGACTTATTATTAATGATCGAGTACTTCTACTAACGGGGTCGGGTGGTCAGGCTCGCTGACTACGTATGTGATCGTATCCCAACCCCGTAGATCGATGCTCATGATGTTGATCACTAAACTGTATGGTCCAGACTCTATTATCTACAGACCGCCGCCATATAGCTGGAATATTGTTGAATGCGGCGGTAAAGAACAAACAAACAAATCATGATCACTGATACAAATATATCCAGTAAACGATCGTCGCGACATACATGTCTTTCCAATAGAACTGACACTTTTTCTCTTTGTTATGGATCTATAACAAGTTGTTTGAGCTAAATACGCGTACAATCTATTTTCATGATCCGTGTCTGACACATTAATATATGTGCGTGTTATGCTCATTTTACATTTCAAAAGGTGAATGTAATATACCTTATTTATGTAATATATATTATTATTATATAAACGAGAAAAGAATAAATAATTAAGGTTTAAAGATCTGTGCATACATAAGATTGTCAAGACTAGTTTACTAAAATCTTCTCAGACATTGTCGACAAGTCCACCCTGCATGTGTTGTGAATATAATGAGAGAGGTTATCCCAAAAGATCCGGGTTAGAACAGATCTACAATAACCCATGCTTATCGTAAGAGGCGACTAACGGGATCGGGTGGTCAGGCTCGCTGACTTGGCTTGACACATGTCATCGTATTCCAGTTGTGTGGAACGATGCTCATGATGTTGATCACTGGATTGTCTGATACAGACTCGATTATTTCCAGACCGCTGCCATATAGCTGGAATATTGCTGAGTGTGGCATATAACTAAACTCACTCACCCATTTGTTAGTTTCTTGTCTGATCAAAAAATCATTGAATTTTTTCTTGTTCTTATTGCTGTTAATACTTCATCATTCATAGGGGTCTGTAACAAAAATAAAATAATCAGTAAATTTTGTAAATTAGGACAGATCTATATAAAGACATAACTCACACACATAATAAGAGAGGTTTTCCCGTCGTCAAGCCAAAATTCTTTTCTTCTTTTTCAAACTTGGTTGGCACGCCATCTTTTACTTTTGCTCTCGCATTCTCGTAACCAAGTTTATTTATACTTTCTGGATCTTTCAAAATGTAAAGGGTATGAGACATCGCTGTATGCCATCCTCATTAAATCGGTCCTTAACGATTGGAAGTGTGAAGAAATGAGACTTGGTACCTTTTATGGACTGGGACACACCAACATAATACGATATCCTATCTCGAGTCTACTACATCCAGACAATATCAGATTCCAGAGTAAACAAAGGAAAATGGCATATGGTCCTCCACTATGACGTCACAGCCCGAGTCTGGGCGAAGTTAGGATTACAATATGCATAGGCGTTGTCGTTTGAATGATAAAATGACTCGTGAAGTTTTTGGGTGTAAATATGTATATTGGATTTAGTTTACGCCGCTTTTCGCAATCTCCCAGCAATATCACGGTGGTGGACACCAGAAATTGGCTTCACACATTGTACTTATGTGGGGATCGAACCAGGACTTTGGCGTGACGAGCGAACACTTTAACCAGAAAGCTACCCCACCGCCCGTAAATATGTTAAGAATATTTTCAAAATATCTCCTTGTTGTATCTTGTAGCTTGTAATAACGTTGTTATGGACTGCGGATCCTAATAAATCATGAGGAGGCGGTGGGGTAGCCTAGTGGCTAAGGCGTTCTCTCGTCACGCGAACCGGGTTCGATTTCCCATGGGGTACAATGTGTGAAGTCCATTTCTGGTGTCCGACCCGTCGTTATATAGTGCTAAAAGAGGCGTAGAACTAAAATTCACTCTCTCCTCACAGCTAGTCAACCAATTATATTCGCGGGGGCCGTCTTAACCACGGCGGTCACCTCTATAGTTCCAGTTGCTGAACTCCGGTCACTGTTCACCGGTGTGTTACCATGGGGATCAGAATATTCTTCAAATGGAAACAAGAAGTCGTCGCCGGATGTTGAGGTACATGAAGAGAAGGTTGACGTTGATGATGATGCTCCACAACCCCGACGAGGGCCCAGGACAGAGAGTAACAAACATAATCTGAAACTAGCAACAATCATCATCAGACGGGACAAGATTTCTTTTGGAATAGCTGTTGTGTTTCGTTTCCTGTTATTAAGGCGACCGATCACAGTGTCACATCCAATCCATAAAGACCCCTTCAGCAACCCATGTTTGTTACGAGACAAATGGGATCGGGTGGTCAGTCTCCCTAACTAGGTTGACACGACATCAAGGTATGACCATTGTTTGACAGTCACACATCAAAGAAAGATCATTGTATGACATTTCTCAACTGAGAAAGACCATTGTCAAAACATACATGCACACGTTATCGAAGAGTGAGTCAGTGATTTTAGTTTTACGCCGCTTTTAGCAATATTTTAGCAATATTCCAGCGGGGACCCCAGAAATAGGCTTCACATATTGTACCCATGTGGCACACATCGAAGAAAGATTATTGCCTGACATTCAGACATCAAAGAGACACCACTGTATGACATTCACACATTGTCAAGCATCCGCATACCCGTGAATATCGGGGTTAGAATTGGTCTTCAGCATCCCATGCTTGTCGTAAGAGGCGACTAATGGGATCGGGAGGTCAGGTTCGCTGACTTGGTTGACACCTGTCATCGTATCCCAATTGTGTAGATCGATGCCCATGCTGTTGATCACAGGACTGTCTGATCAAGACATGATTATTTTCAGACCGTTGCCATATAGCTGGAATATTGCTGAGTGCGACGTAAACAGCAAACTAACAAAACAAACAAATCTGAATTTCACACATCAAAGAAAGACCATAATATTACATGACATTTCACACATCAAAGAAAGACCATAATATTACGTGACATTTCACACATCAAAGAAAGACCATAATATTACGTGACATTTCACACATCAGGGAAGAAACATCATTGTTTGACGTTTACTCATCAAAGAAAGGCTATTGTTTGACATTCGCATATCAGATGGGGAGGGCATGTATGAGAAGAACCGTCGCATGACATTCACACACTAGAGTGAGTGAGTGAGTTTAGTTTTACGCCGCACTCAGCAATATTCCAGCTATATGGCGGCGGTCTGTAAATAATCGAGTCTGGACCAGACAATCCAGTGGTCAACAGCATGAGCATCGATCTGCGCAATTGGGAACCGATGACATGTGTCAACCAAGTCAGCGAAACTGACCACCCGATCCCGTTAGTCGCCTCTTACGACAAGATAGTCGCCTTTTTATGGCAAGCACATGGGTTGCTGAAGACCTATTCTACCCCGGATCTTCACGGGTCTTCACACACTAGAAGAGAAGAATCGTTGTGTGACATTCACATATCCTAGGACAGTGTAGTGCCTACCTGTACTGAACTGTCTGGTCCGCCACCAAATGTTCCGACTCGGTTATCTCCCTTGCCACACCAGCTGCAGAAATATCAAACAGAACAAATTGTAAACCAGAAGTCACTGTATTCTTTTATCTGATTGGCTGAAAAACATGATCGAATGTTTTTCGATTCTCTGAAATTGCAAGACTGTTCGCTGCGTATTAATACGTACAAATATACTGAACAACATTAGAAACGCACCACCCATATAATACGAAATATCCCCGTCAGACTGAAATGTACCCATGATATCTGAGCATCGTCGGAACATTTTGGTGTGGTGCGTTTCTAATGTTGTTCAGCATATGTCAGTGAGTGCAGACAGAAGGTGTGGAATGAGTGAGTGAGTTTAGTTTTACGCCGCACTCCGCAATATTCCAGCTTTATGGCGGCGGTCTGTAAATAATCGAGTCTGGACCAGACAATCCAGTGATCAACATCATGAGCATCGATCTGCGCAATTGGGAACCGATGACATGTGTCAACCAAGTCAGCGAGCCTGACCACCCGATCCCTTTAGTCGCCTCTTACGACAAGCATAGTCGCCTCTTGTGGCAAGCATGGGTTGCTGAAGACCTATTCTACCACGGATCTTCACGGGTCTAGAAGGTGTGGACCTTTTGGTTTATTTTTTGTGTTTACAATGTCGATAAACATGATGTGTTGTTGGCCAATTTCCGGGTGTTATTTAGTATTTGAAGCACGGAAATATTTCATTTGAAACCTCCGGCTCACCCAATCGGTTCCAAATCAATTCCAGTGCTTCAAATACTCAATAACACCCGGAAATTGGCCAACACATCATGTTTATCTCCTAATTAGCAGCCCGTCGGTGAAGGTGTTTCAGATAATGTAACAACATCCCCATATCTGCACCAGTTACTGACATTCCATATAAATATACATGGAAGGTGTGGTCCTTAAACTTTAAAAAGTTGTACATACATATATACCAAAACATTTGTGCGTGAGTGAGTGAGTTTAGTTTTACGCCACACTCAGCAATATTCCAGCTATTTGGCGGCCGTCTGTAAATAAGAGTCTAGACCAGACGATCCAGTGATCAACAGCATGAGCATAGAATCTACGCAACTGGGATACGATGACGTGTGTCAACCAAGTCCAGCCAGCCTGACCACCCGATCCCGTTAGTCGCCTGTTCCGGCAAGCATGGGTTACTTGAGATCAATTCTACCCCGGATTTTCACGGGTACCACAATATTAGATATAACGATGAGACATGTATAACCGAAATTGTACAATCGAGATCTTCTTTTAGCGGAGGTTTCGTATGGATTCGGAAAGGAATTGAAATTTCGCGTATATATGTACATATAAATCTGGATAGAAACTGGATCTGGATAGATCTCACAACGTTTCGAGATCATTCCAGGTTGTCTCCCTCTGATGCAACCCGTCATAAACATACACAAAAGACTGGTCAGTTGCCCTCTCTCCTGAACAAAATACGGCCTGTATGTCTATGCGAGGCGCTACTTCGGTACTAAAGCTGATTCACGGCTCCCTTAACGCGCGCCAACTTGCGATATGCGAGAAGGGCCCAAGTTGTTTCCGGTACCATATTTCCGGTGACAAGCGTATATTCAAGAACCAGTTCTGGTTCCAAATTGCGCGACCACCAAATATGACTTTACCGCACCGGACCAAGTGTACAACCATGCTTTGCTGCCACAGATGTTGACAGTCGTAATAGTTGGCTAATTTGGGAATAGTTAAATCGGCAATTTGTTATTCCTGCAAGGAATATCGGTTCCTTACTGTTAAAATGACAACCATAAAGGCCATTCGAAAAAGGTATGAAACTTTGTTTGTCACCGGAAGTACTAAGGTCTCGCGAATTGCCGTGACCTATTTTACGGGTCCATCATCGGGGAGGTATGAAATGAAAATCGAGAATTTTGTTTTTATTGCGTCACATTTTGAAATTTCCGTCATATGTCTACCGTATAACATTGGAATGCCTCTCTAAGCCTTGCGTGTTGTAGCTGTGATCGAACAACTTCTGAGCATGAATGGAATGACCCCCTGTCAGAAATTTGTTGAAAGAGCAGGCCTCGATTGTACCTCAAAAGTGGCTGGAGCTGTTGGCTTGTTGCTCGACATGAAGTGAGTGAATTTGGTTTTACGCCGCTTTTTAGCAATATTCAAGCAATATCACAACGGGGACACCAGAAATGGGTTTCAGACATTGTACCTATGTGTGGAATAGAACCCGGATCTTCGGCGTGACGAACGAACGTTTTAACCACTAGGCTACCCCACCGCCCCCTCGACATGAAGTGAATTACTAGAAAGTTGAAATGATCGCTTTTTGCCATGCAGACTGTTGACAGTTGTTTTGTCACAATGAATCTTTATGCATAGATCTAAATATGAAACACGAGGGGCAACACCGTGAGGGGTGAAACCCTGTTTCTCCCGGAACAGAATGATATTTATTTAATTTACAAAATATATCACGCTCTTCTAGACACAGTCTGAGCAGACCGACCTGTTTTCTTATCATAAAGGCTTTGTGAGGCTTTGTGAGGCTTTGTGAGGTGAGGTGAAATCGGGTTTAACGTCGTGTTAGAGAATATTTCGCTCATATGACGACGTGCATGCGTTTGTACGTGTGCGACTGCTTGTACTAGCCTAGACTGAAGCTGGTTTTATAGTGTTAGCTCTAATACCATGCCGCAGTGAAGCATGAATACCCCACTCAGACACATTATACTGACTCGAACCGACCAGTCCTTGTTGTACCCATTAATGCCGAGAGCGCCAGGCAGGGACCAACAAGTACCATATTTTGACGTCTTTTGGTGTAACGTGGTCGGGGATCGAACCCGCGACCTTCCGCTCTCCGGGCGGACGCTCTAACTCGCACTACACCACGGAGGCGGTCAAAAAGGCTTTGTCAATGTACATGTATTTTAATGGAGAAAAACAGCGAAATTTAGAAACATTATTTCAGCGATACTACGAAGATAAGAACAAGAGGTAACTCAATACATAAGAAAACATTTGTCACGTCAAACTTCTTTTAAAAATACGGTCTTTTTTCTTTTCATAAGTCCCTACTGATATTGTTGAACGTTTGGTTCTGAACACTGTTATATGGATACAAACAACCCACCTGGCTTTGTTTCGTGTGGGTCACAACTCGTTGGACACTGGAGGTGGGGACATGCTGGTCTTGACCAATGCCCTGGGCTGTTACACGCTCCCGGGTCACAGGAGTCATTCCCTAACCAATGAACCGTGACACGCTCTGGCTCATGAACACACAGGATGGTGGACACCTCACGCTCACAGGCGAAGATCTTGTCAGGACTGAGGAAAGAAACAGAGATGATGAGACTGGAGTGTGAGTGGAGTGAGTGAGTGAGTGAGTGCGAAAGAGATAGCGAGAAAGAGTGAGGGTGTTTGAGTAAGGGAGTGTGAGTGAGAGTGTGAGAAAGTTGAAATGCAATCAATCCACATGATAAAAGTCGGGAAGCGTGGGTATATAACACGTTTCTGAAAAGTGAGGTGAGGTGAACTTGGGTTTAACGTCGTGCTTGGGAATATTTCACTCACATGACGACGTGCATGCGTGTGTATGTGTATGTGTATGTGCGGATGCGTGTACTAGCCCAGACTTAAGCTGGCAGACGCCGTGAAGAGGAGTGCCATTGAACTGAAGGGCAAACCTTTCAGTCTTGTTGAACAATTCCCCCGGAAATCAGTGAGTGTAGGAGAGAGGTTCTTATGCCACTTATGCGTGCTGCTATGAAGGAAGGCAAACGTGCTAATGTAGTTGTCGACAAATTATACATCGACAACCAGTTGCAATCAGTGGCCGTACAACCCCCTTATAGACCCTCACAGCCCGCGGATGTATACAAACAGGCCCGCTCAGCCCGCCAGCCCCGGCAATAGGAAAGCGTCGGTGGGCAGGAGCAGCTGACCAGCAACCCCAGCAAGATGAACTTATTCAACCCCTTGCTACAGTGACCAACACAGCCTGTGTTAAAAGTAACATTACGTGTGTTTGTGCAGATTCCCATGAGTTAGATGTTACTCCAGATGTGACTCAAAATGACTTATCCCCATGAAATATAAGCTCTTCTACGCAAAATGATATTTCAAGACATTCTACGTTAACAAAACCCGATACAAACATTACCATAAATGATATAGAATATTAACATAATGGACTAAGTTTTCTCAGCATTAATGTGTGTGGTTTGCCAAACAAATTGGATTATTCCCGATGTTTTAAATTTGATTGAAAACAAAGACATTGTTTGTTTACAAGAAAAAAACAACACATTTTAGATGATCTTAAAATTAAAGGCTACAAACTCTATGTTCAAAATAGAAAAAATGTATCTCGTAAATCTGGTGGAATTGCATTAGCAGTTAGAGGAAAATACTCGGATTATTTATTTCCTGTAGAAATTGAGAATGAGTACATACTGTGGTTTAGAATTTCCATAGAGTTGTTTAATATTGAGAAAGACCTCTATCTTGGAGTTACGTATTTACCCCCTGAGGGGTCAAGGTATGCCAAAGATTCAATGTTCAGTGATATAGAAGAGTCAGTTCTTAAAGTGTTCGGCCTATCAGAATACGTTATTCTAATCGGTGATTTTAACGCAAGAACTTCTAAAATGCCTGATTACTGCGTAATTGATCAACATTAAGTTGATGAATTTGGCCTTGATGCTGAGTGTTTGGAAGATGATATTAACCCAGAAAATATTTTACACGCTCTAAGTATCCCTAAAGAGAGGTAAAGTATGGATACAGGCAGAGTTAATAATTACGGAAAAATCTTATATCACTCTATAGAAACCTTAACCTTTACATCTGTAATGGTAGATTCGGAAATGATATATACCGAGGAAAAACAACATGCAATGAAAAAAGTGTTATTGATTATGCTATTGCCTCATCAAAATGTTTATCACTACATTTGATGCCCGAAAGACGACTTATAATAGCCCAGCTGAGAAACAAAAAAGAGATAAACCCTGGTTTAATAAAGAATGTAGATATAAAACTGTACCTAAGAAGTGGGTATATCAGGAATACCACTTTTATGGATATGCTCATATTTGATCAACAGACGCCAGTCAGTTATGATTGGTGATACTAAATCTGAAAGTATCGCGCTACCCTGTGGGGTTCCCCAAGGATCTGTGCTAGGTCCAGTCCTGTTTGTGCTGTACACAAGTAGTCTCAGCTCCAGCATCAGACAGTATGGGCTGAACCACCATGCATATGCTGACGACACCCAGCTATATCAAGGTTTCAAAGCAAGCGAAGCAGTCGATGCACTTGCAAGAACTACTGACTGCACTAAATCAATAAAAACATGGATGACGTCAAACAGATTAAAACTGAATGATGGAAAAACTGAGGCCTTACTCGCTGGACCCAGACAGCGCATCCAACAGTTGAATATCACGTCAGTGGCTGTGGGAGACTCATTCATACCATTCGCCGACAAAGCAAAGAACCTGGGTGTCATCTTTGATTCTCCCTTGTCAATGGAACCCCAAGTTAATCAAGTGTGCCAGACCTGCTACTTCCATCTAAGAAGTATTGGTAATATCCGCCATCTTATTACCAAAGACGTAACAAAGACACTAGTCCAACAACTTGTGATGTCCCGCATTGACTACAGCAACAGTCTGTTGTATGGTTTGAGTCAGGATCTGCTGAACAAACTCCAGAAGGTACAAAATAGGGCAGCTCGTATTGTGAGTCGTGCACCAAAAAGATGCCACATAACACCGGTATTGATGTCCCTACACTGGCTACGAATAGAAGCCCGGATCGACTTCAAGATCTTGTGTTTTGCCTACCACTGTTTGAATGGTACAGCACCGAGTTATCTATCAGAACTGATCTCACCATACCAGCCTTCACGACGTCTAAGGTCTGAAAACCAATGCCTACTTGCAGTACCAAACTCAAGACTAAAATCCTACGGCAACAGATCGTTTCAAGTAGCAGCACCTCAGTTATGGAACCCACTACCTCAGAACATTAAAGAATCCCCCACCCTTGAGACATTCAAAACCAACCTAAAAACCTTTCTCTTTAGAAAGTTCTATCCCCACGAACTATCTCCTCCCGTGAACTTCTCATCTGTGACTATTGTAGCGCCTTGAGCATGCACCTCTGTGGATGGAACCCAGCGCAATATCTATGGATTCAGCTAACCCAGCGCAATATTATTCCCAGGGAAATTATTACCCATTATTATTATTATTATTATTATTATTATTATTATTATTATTATTATGTGGGGACACATACCTTGGAATCCATTTTCATAGAAATGGACGGATGATAACTGCTATTAAAGAACTCGCTAATAGTGCAACCAAAGCCATGTTTTCACTCGTGAAGAGAGCCCGAAATTTATATTTGCCGATAGACACACTTTTGAAAGCATTTGATATTAATTTATATTAATTTTACCGATTCTCACCTATGGATGTGAAGTTTGGGGTTACGAAAATCTACAATTTATAGAAAAGATACACCTAAAATTTCTGAAATATGCTGCTGGACTCCGTTCGTCTACACCAAGCTTCATAGTATATGGAGTATTAGGCAGATTGCCTACTGAAATATATATCTATGTATGAATGATAAGATACTGGCATCAGCTTGAAACTGTTAGTACTCCACTAAAGCTATCACAATAAATATATCGTTCCATGAGATACCAATACTACTGTAATGGCACTGTTTTACCTTGGTTTAAGCATATCAAGCAAATTCTCGATACCTCAGGATTATCTTACTTACTTGAAAACCCGTTCACCTGTACAACGAAATATATTTCTCTTACTGTTGAAAATGTACTAAAAGATCAGTTTTACAAAGGTGGCAAAGTGACATCAGAAGCAGTTCCAAAGGATTTTATTATCGTGTCCTGAAAGATTCCCCATCATTTGGAAAATACCTCTTATTACCAAAGAAATATCTTATCCCTTACTATTATTTAGAACAAATAATCATCATCTCCCAATTGAAACTGGCCGTTGGAAACGCATCCCACAAAATGATAGAACCTGCCATCTCTGTAACTCACCTTCAACAGCTGATGAATTCCATTATCTATTTAGATGTTCTGCCTTCACTCAAATTAGATGTCATTATTTGGAACCATATTATTGTACATTCGCTAATTTGTATAAGATGAAATCATTGTTCGCATCCAACAAACTGTCAATTCTTAAGAAATTATCAAAGTTTATATCTATTATCACTAACCGTGTTAAAGCTACGCAAAAACTGTAAATTATGCAACGACCTTCCAACAATGCAATTAAATTAATGTATAATATATATCCTATGCTCTTGTACCACCGTGGGTGGTTAAAAGAGAATAAAGATTGATTAATTGATATAGTGCAAGCCCACTGAGATACCATGCCGCAGTGAAGCATGAATACCCCACTCAGACACATTATACTGACTCCGAACCGACCAGTCCTTGTTGTACCCATTAATGCCGAGCGCCAGGCAGGGACCAACAAGTACCATATTTTAACGTCTTTTGGTATGACGCGGTCGGTGATCGAACCCGCGACCTTCCGCTCTCCGGGCGGACGCTCTACCACTACAGCACGGAAGCGGTCTTTCTGAAAAGTAGAAGTCTGGGTAAATAACACGTTTCAAAGAAGTAGAAGTGTGAGTATATAACACCTTTCACGGAGATCCGTGCTGTGGATCACATGAAGGAACTATTTTTCCAAATATTAACCATGTGAGGAAATAAACGAATCATCCGAGCTTCATATGACCAACGTTGAAATGTACATTTGGCCACCAAATCTGCATTTGTTTCGCGGGTCATGAAATAAAGGAGCATCTCGGAACGAATATGACAAAGGTGTATAAATATGACCATCGAGTTTTATATATACTGCCCCCAAAAAGAAACGCAAAACAAAATACTGAAATAGTATTCAAAATGATATTTTTGTTTAGTTTTGAGAGACGTAGTGTTATCGGTACAAAAAGCCATTTCTAATGAGATGGAAACTTCCTTCAGAATTGTTCAGAGAGAACAACATGCAAAATTGACCAAAACGCAGCCACATGCTAACCATGTCACCCAAACACATCCATGAACTGTAGGGGAAACATGTTGGCATTAGCAACACAAGCGCGGGATTTCAGTTGATTGGCAATTGTTGCTGAAGCAAAGGAGAACTCTGAAAAAAGCCACGACTCGGCGAAGCAGAGAGGTACCAAAATCAACCGGTATCAAAATCAAGTAGCAACACGTGATTGACCCAGATCAGGGAGACCACGAGTGACCA